GCCTCCTGGTCCTCCTCCTCATCTCCTTCTCTCCTCCTCCTCCTCCTCCTCCTCCTCCTCCTCATCCCCTCCTCATCCTCCTCCTCCTCCTTCCTCTCCTCCTCCTCCTCCTCCTCCTCCTCCTCCTCCTTCACTCTCCCCTACTCCTCCTCCTCCTCATTTCCTCTCCACCTCCTCATCCTCCTCCTCCTCCTCTCCTCCTCCGCGATTCCTATCCTCCTCCCTCTCTCCCTCCTCCTCCTCCTCTTCTTCGTCTTAGTAGTATTAGTAGTGTTGTTATTGTTATTCTTAGTTTTCTTAGTATTAGTCTTAGTCTTAATATTAGCCGGATTATTATTGTTATTATTATTGCGATTCGTACTCGTAGTTTTAGTCTTAGTCGTCGTATTCGCCTTCGTAGTATTATTGTTATTAGTATATGCCTTCGGATTCGTCTTGTTCTTCATATTATTATTATTATACGTGTTTTGTCTTCTTATTATTATGGTTATTCTTAGTATTATCATCGGTTGTCTTCTTCTTCGTCCTCCTCCTCCTCCTCCGCCTCCTCCTCCTCTCCTACTTCTCCTCCTCCTCCTCCTCCTCGTCCTCCTTCTCCTGCTTCTCATCCTCCGCCTCCTCCGCCTCCGCCTCCGCCTCCGCCTCCGCCTCCGCCTCCGCCTCCGCCTCCCCCTCCGCCTCCGCCTCCGCCTCCGCCTCCGCCTCCTCCTCCTCCTCCTCCTCCTCCTCCTCCTCCTCATTCTCCCTCTCCCCCTCCCCCCAATCATGCCAAACATCATGCGGAATGTGGATAGATCGAGGGCGTCCGAGGCCACGCGTCTTATCCATACCCTGCTGCACCTGGGCGCCCAGAGTGAGGGGGCAGCAGCAGGGGTAACACAGGTCCCCGAGTCGGGCCCAGGGCGCAAGCGGAGCGGTGTTCTGGCGATTCAGTGGGCCGTGTTCATCTTGACCTTGTTCTGCAACGAAGGCGGAGCGAAGGCGGAACAAACACCGAACGAGGGACAACGAACACAAACGAGAGCGGACAAAAAACACTCTTTAGCACGCGCCCTGGTTGGGCCTAAAGGAGTGCAAAGCAGAGGGAAGGGTGTTGGCGGGGAGGACCCGGAACGGGGGAGAGGGAGAGGGAAGGGACGGAAAGAAAGACAGAGAGACAGAGAGAGACAGGCAGACAGACAGACAGACAGACAGACAGACAGACAGGCAGGCAGGCAGGCAGGCAGGCAGGCAGGCAGGCAGGCAGGCAGGCAGGCAGGCAGACAGACAGACAGACAAGGGAGGGGAGGAAGGGACGAAGGGAGGGAGAGGGAGAGGGAAGGAAAAGGGAGGAGAGGGGAGAATGCGAAGCCCGAAGGAGAGCGACATCCGACCCGGCTTTCGGGGATCCCCCGGGCGGCCAGCTTCAGCTCGTCCTCGGTGCGCATTGACACCGCCCACGACGCACCGTGTCCCAAGATCCGGCTGGCCCCCGCTCCCGGGGGCTCCGCGAGCCGCGCGAGGGCGTGCGCGGACGACGTTTTCCAACCACCAGCTGAGCATTTTCTTAGGATGGAGGGCTCAGGGTGAAATCCATATGGGCTTTTGCACCTCGAACATCAATCCGTCTTGTGGTTCACCTTTTGTCGGCTACACGCAAGAGTGATCCTGGGCAAGAGTGACCTTTGGTGCTCGGCTTAGCGGGTGCCGCGGCGGGGCCAAACACAGGCGCGCAAGCCGCCGCTAACGTCTCGCACTCGGCCAATATCGGCGACTGGGGGGCCGCATTGGGCCTGCACCAAAAGTCACTCCGGCCAAGGGCCACTCTTTAGCCGAGTTTGCAGATTCAAACCTCGAAAATCAATCGACACGGCATTTCGGATCTCACCCTCCGCCCTCCACCCAACTATCGGGAGCGGCCAAAAGGGGGTGTCCAAGGGGGGGGGTGGGGGCAGATCACGACCGGCGGCATGTGCGCGGCCCAGCGGGGGGGCCAGCGACGTAATGAAATAAGAAGAGGAGGCGCCTTGAGATTTGGGGACATATCATGGCCCACGCCATGAGATCCCCCCGCCCTTTGGTCATCACCCCCCCCCCTCTGCCGCCCCGGAAACACAAGATGCTCGGACCAGTGGCCCCCAGCCGGTGCCGGGAGCGCTCACGGGGCTGCGCTCGGGCAGCCCCGCAGGCCCCGCGAGCGGCGCCACGAGTCGCAAGTCGGGCGTGTCCCCCTACCGGGGGGGTGTTCGACGAAAAATAGCACATACGCGAGACATGCTCCAAGATGCCCCCAAAAAATACTCAACAAATGATCTCCAGACTATTTTTTGACTATTCTTGAATCTTCCCCCTGCAGAGGAACAGGCCCGACTCCACACGAGTCCCGCCGCCCTCCACCTCCAGAAACCGGCGCCGGCCGCCCCGTGCGGCGCGCCGGGCGGGGCGCCCCTGCGTGTCCGTGCGCGTGTCCGTGTGCCTGCCTGCCGGCCGGCCCGCCCGCCTCTCAGAGCTGGCGGCCCGCCGTCCTGGCCGCCCGTCTGCCCCTCGGTCTCCGTCGGTCTCCGCCTGCCTGTCCGTGCGGGCGCTTCGCTTCGCGCCCCGGCGCCGCGTCGACCTGCAGGCAACGCCCCGGCACGTGCAGGGGGGGAGGAGCGCCGTGGGACCGACGATGGCTGCCCAGGGGGAGGAGGAGGAGGAGGAGGAGGAGGAGGAGGAGGAGGAGGAGGAGGAGGAGGAGGAGGAGGAGGAGGAGGAGGAGGAGGAGGAATGCAAGGATGACGGGAGAGGAGGAGGAGAAGGAGGAGGGGAGGAGGAGGAATGCAGGGATGACGAGAGGAGGAGGGGGATGAGTAGGGGGAGGGGGAGGAGGAGGAACAATCCCCAGCCGCCCCCTTTATGGCTGCAGTCGAATCAGGCACCGTGCCAGCCTGCCCTGCACAGACGTCCGGCATCGCACGACGTCGCGGGCAGCCCACGAGGCGGCCGCTGAAGCGCCGATGCTTCCAGCCGCCCCAGACAAGTCGACCACCTGCCTGAGTAGCTGGTCCCTGAACAAATTGCCTGCAGTGGTTCCATATAGCTCTTCTACATGACCAAATTGGTGCGCTGCCGGATCTGGAATCGGTCGGACGGCGTTGTCTCCAACTGCCTCGCGCGCCGTCTCCCATTGTCTACCGCTGTCTCCTATTGCCTTCTCAATTTGGTTTCCACGATCTAGGTATGTCCGTATCCGTTTGCCGCTGTCCCTATCCCTATGTTTGGGTGTCTTTCTCTTTGCATGCTAGATATGTATTATACACACGTATGCTTATACACATACATATCACAAACAACAACCGACAAAACAAACGCAGACCCTGTCGGCGTGTGTGAGGGGCTTGTCCGTTCGAGTCGTCCTCTTCGTCATTAGTTAGTCGTCGTCTCTGCCGGCTCCTTTCCCTGTGGCCTCCATTTCGCAGGGCCCGTCGCCTTTCCCCCCCTTTTCGTGGGCCCTCCTTCCCAAGCGCGCCAGCCAGCCAGGCAAAGCGAAATTGAACGCCGTAATTCGATCGAAGGGAGCCCCCTCCTTTGGATCCCTCTCCCGTCGGGGGGGGGGGGGCGGGGGGTGTACCCAGGGGGGGTCGCCACCCAGATACAACTCCCCCGGGGGGGGGGTCCCGGGGGGGGGTCGCCACCCAGATACGCCTCCCTCCCAGGAGGTCCCGGGTCCCAACAAAAAGCCCAGCGACGGGCCGAGTGCCCGAAGAGTCCCCCCAAGGCGGTTTTTAAGAGGGCCCCGCATGGCCGAACGATCTGTCCAAGACGACCTCACGGCCTCCCGACAAGGGCTCCAGGAGCACTCCCAGAAAGGCCCCGAGAGTTATGATGTTCCAACCTACTTTAGCCTTGACCGCCAGAACGAATTTCGAGCAACAGAAAAAAGTGCCGAATCTCGAGCGTGTTGGCGTGTCGGGACCTGGGAGACACTCGTCCGGCACTGCTTCGACACTCTTTCGACATTTTCCGGGTGCTCGAAATTATTCCTGGGATGTGGTCCTTAAGTACGATGGGAGCAACGTAACCCGAGAGGCACAATCCATCAATCTCCCTCCGGTGTTGGCAGGATGTTGCCTTCTTCGCCCCCCACCCCCCCGCTCCTCGGCGGGCCCACTGCGGTCGTGCCCGCTGAGGGCACGGTCTCCCCCGGGCCGTGGGCGACCCGAGGAGGAGGAGGAGGAGGAGGAGAGGAGGGGGAGGAGGAGATGGAGGAGGAGGAGATGGAGGAGGAGGAGGAGGAGGAGGAGGAGAAGCGGAGGAGGAGGAGGAGGATGAGGAGATGAGGAGGTGAGAAGGAGGAGAAGGGCTGAGGAGCAGGAGGAGGCGGAGGAGGAGGAGATGGAGGAGGAGGATAAAAGGAGGAGGAGGAGGAGGAGGAAGAAAAGGAGGAGGAGGAGTAGCAGGAGGAGGAGGAGGAGGAGGAGGGGTCGCCTCAGCCCTTCGGAGAAACCCGCCAACGCTGAGACCGCAGGCGGACTCCCCCATAGGGGGGGCACGATTCGCGCGAGGGGCGCGCCGAGACTGGCGCGCGGAGAGCTCGGGCGAAGAGAGGCGGGGGAGGCGGGCGGGGTGGAGAGAGAGAGGAGAAGGAGAGAGAAGGAGGAGGAGGAGGAGGAGGGGGAGGGGGAGAGCGGTACGTGGGCCCCACATCGGATGCAGTTTCGAGGACCCGGCAGCACAGAAGGGCAGAGAAAGCGGCAGAAAGACCTCCTCCTCCTCCTCCTCCTCCTCCTCCTCCACCTCCTCCTCCATACTCCTTCTCCTCCTCCTCCAACCTCCTCCTTCTCCTCCTCCTACCTCCTCCTCCCTCCTCCCCCCCTCCTCCTCCTCCTCCTCCTCCTCCTCCTCCTCCCCCTCCTCCCCCTCCCCCTCCCGCGCCCGCGAGCCGGGCCGCCATGGCGCGGGACGGCCAGGAGGCCAGAGCGGAGAGGGCCCGCCCTGGCTCGGGGCGTGATCGGCGGGGCTGCTCCAGCGCATCTTGTATCATCGTGGAGAATGTGATCGCCACGAGCGCCAACCACTCCTCCAGGGCGGGGGTGAGCCGTCCCATGATGGGCCTGTCTTCCACCACCACCACCACGGTAAGTTGGAGGGGGAGGGGGTCCTCCTCCTCTTCCTCCTCCTCCCTCTCCTCCTCCTCCCTCCTGCCCTCCTCCTCGTCCCTCCCCCCTCCTCCTCACCTCCTCCTCCTCCTCCTCCTCCTCCTCCTCCTCCTCCTCCTCCTCCTCCTCCTCCCCCCATCCAACTTCTGGTGGTGGTGGAAAACAGGCCCATCATCCCCATGCCCCTTCCGACCGAGAGGCACAGCCCAAAGGAAAAACGCAGCATGGAAGCATAGGGTCGTAGGCAGGCGGGGAGTCCTTGGGGTCGGCGCGGTCCCTCCCTCCCCCCCCCCCTCCTCCCCTTCCTCCTCCTCTGGCTCCTCCTGCTCCTCCTCCTGCTCCTCCTCCTTCTCCTCCTCCTCCTCCTCCTCCTCCTCCTCCTCCTCCTTCCTTTGACATCCACAGCCACAGACCTCCCTGCAGGGGGCACCACCGATGTCGTAGAAGACGTAATCGAAGAACGGGCACGGCCGGGCGGCGCTGCAGGCGCGGCTCCAGAAGTACCCCCGCGGAGCTCCGAAAGCTGACGGCCGTGCCATCGTTCTGCTGGCGGGGCCAGCAGCGGGATCCGGGCGGGCACTGCCCCGACGGACGCCCGTTGTCGAGGGCAGATCGGAGTCCGCTGGGCTCGTCGGACACGCCGCCGCACGCCCGACACGCACCCCAACGTCTTTTGCACCTCCTTCCGACGATCCTCCCGTCGCCTGCAGCCTACCTGCCGCATCGTGACCGGCATGGCCGCACGGGCGGCATGACCTGATCTAACCGTTACTCGCGATCAAAGCGGTATTTGGGAGCTCGGGATCCTGTCAAGTAACGAGAAAGGGCCCAACATCTCGGAGACGCGGTCCCTCGAAGGCGCAGCGCAACTCTTCCGCCCCGTCTATGAATAACGCCTCGCTGTCACACCCCCAGACGTGTCGGTAGGGCGGGCTGGCCGTTTCGCCTGAGACTTCCTCATCCTCTATGATCCTGAAACTGGACATTTCCAGTAGTTTCATAGATGGAAGGGCGGCCCGTTTTCAAAAGGTGGTTCTCGCCCCACCACCGCGCACATTCGTCGTACAAGCTCGGAAAAAAGAACACAAGGATTTGTATGGGTGAAGTCCATGGAAGCTGGGCGAGGGCTGGCAAATCCGTGGCTACTGAAATTGTCTTCCCGGAATACCAACACAAATCCCGGAATCTAGCCGAACGCACCATCTAGGAAACGGGCTGCTTCCCGGAAGAGACACACATGACTTACCGGAGCCTTGGTTTCGCAGCCACGGGATTGCCAGCCTTCGCCCGGCTCCTGAGCATTGCGCTCTGAGACGACTTGCGACTGCCAGGGCGCAACAGCCACTGTGTACCGCGGCGTTGACGTCCCAGGGGCAAGCTGAATGGGGCCCTGGGACACGCAAATAAATACACACAAATAACAGGATGACCCTATACTTTTTATTTTTGTTTTATTTTCTGGATTTTCGTTTTCCCCCCCACTTCCCATACTTTCCAATATTTTCTGGGGAATCGGCGATTAGTTGTGTCTGTGCTTCTGTTCCCTCCTGAAAGCGTTATGGCACGAGGTAGGACAAGCCAGGACGCGACGGCCACGCCGACCCCCGGCGTTGAAGACCCACCCTTTGTGTGCGAGCACGACTGGAAATGATCAGAATATGTCTTCCGACGAGGCAGCTTCCGCAATGATAGTGCTGTTAGTGCTCACAATTAAGAAACTTCAAAAGAAGATGGATTGCACCATCGTGCACGCACATTGGGCTTACACTGGTCCATTCTCTCGTCCTCAGACGCTTGGTCCTCTCACGCATCCTCATCCTCATCCCCAAACTCACCATCATCACCAGCAGAAGCAGCAGCATCTTCATCCTCCTCCGCCTCATGGCCCCCCATCATGCTCATCATAGTTATCATCATCACCACCAACATCATCATTATCATCAGCATCATCATCGGCATCATCAGCATCAACATCATCATCAGCATCATCATCATCATCAATATCATCATCACCATCACAATCACCATCACCATCACCATCACCATCACCATCACCATCACCATCACCATCACCATCACCATCACCACCATCACCATCACCATCATCACCATCACCATCACCATCACCATCACCATCACCATCACCATCACCATCATCATCATCATCATCATCATCATCATCATCATCATCATCATCATCATCAATGGCGTCCCTTTGCGCGGCAGACGCGCGCCAAAGCGTCGTGCGTGAGCGCTGACGCCAGGATCATTCACCCCACTGCGCAGGCCGGGCGAACACCTCACTTTCCCAGGGCCCCGCGGCGGCAGAACAGCACGGGCCCCAGTCATACGCGCATGCAGCCCAGTGCCCCCCACGTGCCCGCCAGGGGCCCAAGAGACGTCCTCGGCCCGCTGCCTCAGACTGGCTGCAACGGCCAACCCACGGCCCAGAAAGGGCTGCAATGGGCTACAGGTGGGTGCGGAAGGATATCCCCGGGGGTGCCCTCGGGGGCCTCTCAGGGTCAAAGCCTGCCCCACAGCGAGGGGCGGCCCGGGGCCCACAGATCCCGAGGCCAACGCGGCCCTCCTGGACCGGTCCCTGAGACCACATGCCTACGCTCCAACCTTACCCATTACTGTTTCTAGTTTGCCGCACAGTGGCTCCAGGAGGCGTCCAAACAACGATAACAACACTGGACGTCGGGCCCAATCGATGACATCGAATGGAGATCCTCCACGAGAGCCGAAATCGTGATTCAAGGAAAAAACACCCACCACACTCGCCCCATACTTGGCGAACTAGCCGCCCTAACAGCCTCAGACATAACAAATTGACCGCTTCAAGTTCTTGTTTTGTTAGCCGACATCCCATACTCTTGCAACTTGGTCACAGCACCTGCGATGCGGACCCGGGCATTCTTCGCGTTGGCCCAACGCCCAGGCAGGGCCGCGCCGTGAATACCTCCCAGAACTTGGAAATAACGAGTGCCCCCGTCCACGCGTCTCAGACAGCGCGGCTGGTAACCAAACGACGGCACTCCCAAGACGACCAAGGCTCCGCAGAAGAGGCCGAAGAAGGCTCGTGAGGCCTGGGCCGCTAGAGGGTACCAAGGGATAGTCCCACCGAGGCCTTCAGAGGGCCAACGGACCACCTTACGGCCATCGGCGTTCACCACGTCGCGCCGGTTCAACCTGTCGCGCTGGTGGATTAGAACTGATGATGCATTTTCCCGCCCCTTGCGGTAGCGACGTCTCGCTTCCGAAGCGCCAGAAGCACGCGCGCCCGCGGCGCGCACTGGAAGCCGACGGCCGCCGCAAGCATCGCGCCAGCCACCCGCCAACGCCCCCCCCTTTGCGTCATCGGCGGCGCCCGCCTTTGTCCCGAACCGATTTGGCGCACCCAGCTGCAGGCGAGTGGCACCTGGCTCCTGGGGCGCGCCGCTGCATCGCGGCGAAGGCGCACGCGGCCCAACATGCAGGCCCACCATTGCCCCGCAGATGCTCGACGCATTCGGCGCAGCTGATCCACCTGTTCAACGCCATGAACTGGCGGCCAGTCGGACTTGCCACACGCCTAATTTACGAAATGCGCCGCAAAGTCTATGCATCGGCGCTGCGCTCTCTAAACAAGGATAGCGTCGCAGAGCCCGCCGATCTCAGCGCGCGACGCTTTCCTAGCACCCTTCGCGCCAACGGCTCTTACAATGACCTGGGGCGCTCGGCCGGGGGCGCCGGCCGGGCCGTCCGCCGCGCGGGCGCGCGCGAAGAACGGGGCGCCGGAGGTCGCGAGGCAACGGCATTCAAGCGGCGGAGTACAGCATTTACGTCGACGTTACAACAGGACGAGCGGCCCGTCGCGGCTACGGCGACAGCCACCTGCGAGCCCACGAAAGACCTGGCCCATGGAACTCCAGTGCCGCCGCGTGCTTCCACGCCCAGCGGCGCTAGTCCACGCTGTTGCGCGGTCAAGCACAATGGCGGAAACGGATGCTGAGGTCGAGCCGAGCGCCGCTGTCTCGATGACCAGCTCTACGAAGGAGCACCCACACGAGGCCGACCATCAACTGACCCGAGTATTGGTGGAGACGCGGCTGTGCCAAGACTCCGAGCCACTACATGGCCCCGGGCCAGGAAGGACTTTAGCCCGGCGGCGCGCTTGCGATAGATCTCTCCGATGGCTCTCGGCGTTGGCGGGCTCGCGAGCAGCTCGGCGCTGAATGGCCCCTGGTCGACTTGCCGCGCCGTCGCGCAAGCGCTAAAAACGCAGCCGAATCGCGAACAGCGCTTATTCTGAAGCTGGCGCGCCGCCTCGTGATAAAGCACGTTAAGCTCTCGCCTTCCACCCAGCGCGCGCCCTGGCCAATTGCCCACGAGGGCCCCCCGCCACGCTGCAATCGCGACGGGGCACGAGAGCGCCACCTCAGTCACCCTCGAGACGCCGGAGAGCTCGATGTTCGATCAACGTAGCTCGGCGCGGCACTGGGGCAAGCGGTGGCGAGGTGATAACCGGGGGCCGGCCAGCTCCCAGAACGCGTGAATGCCAGCGACGCAACCGTCAATTCCACGGGGATCCGAGCCATATCGCCCTCGGAAGATCGCCCACGCGAGCGCGGGCAAGCGCTGCTCGAGCGGCGCCGGCCACTTGCGATCCTCTGCCGCGCCTGCCAGGGAGTTCAACGAGGTCGACGAGGTCGCATTCGACGACGCTTGCCCCGTGAGACTCCGCGACATGGAAGCTAGCGGAGTCGACGCGGAGCGGGGCGGGGTGCCCAGCCTGGGCCTCGGCCACGACGACGGCGCCCTCGAGCCCCATCGAGGCGACATTCTCGCGGAAACCGACCCAGAGCACGACGCAGAACGCGACCGACCCGCCGCTCGGCCTGCAGCCGGTGCACCTTGAAGAACTACGCCGGCCGCGGGCTCAGAAGGCCTGCCCCCCAAGGCCCGCGGCGCCCGCGCCCTCGCAGAGAGGCCCGCGCGCTCCGACCGCGGCGACGCCACGTGGGCGGGCCCCCAGCAAAACTCGGAGCTCTCGCCGGCCGATCTCAACCACGCCGAACCACTCGACGTCGCCGGGCTAGTTCCTGCGGCGCACTATCCTGGCCGCCGCGTCGGTCTCTGCGCAGCGAGGTGGCCGCGCTGTCTCAAACCTGGCCTCGCCCGGTTGCCGGGGCAGCTCCCCGCTGCAGCCCATCGCCGCGCCCCGTCGCGCAGGCCGAGGGCCCATCGGCGAAGCGCAGAGTTGGAAACCCAGCGGCCGCGCCCACCCACAATTCCCACGAGGGCGGCGGCAAGCTGACCCAACGCCCTCGCAGCAAGCCCCAGCCCGCTTCACGGGGCGCGTGATGTGGAGGAGTGGCGGCGCCCAAGGGGATATCCACCTCGACGCCCTTGTGGAGAGCTCGGACAGATCACCCGATCCCCTTCCTGACCGAGACGGAGCCCTCCAGCGCGATCAGCGACTCCCCGAGGGCCTGCCCGCGGTTTGACACCGCCCCCTTTTGAAGGCAACGGCCTCCGCGAGCTCGGTCTCCTCGGAGTCGCCAGCGCGCGCGCCCAAACGCCGCCGCGGCACCGCTGGGCCCCGCGCCACGAAGGGCGCGTCGCAACTGCCGGCAAGCAGCCACGGCGGCGCCCCCCCAGACCAACGGTCGCCATCTGGCGACGCACTCGCTGCCGCCAAATCGGGTCCGCCCTGGCGCAAACAAGCTGAAGCGCGCGCGTCGCATCGGGGCCGAACGGGCGCCGCGGTTTGGGGCGGGTGAACCAGCGACACCAGTGATGCGGCAGCGTGAGGAGGCGGAAGCAGCCTGAGACGTCGCCCCCCGGGAAGAGCGCGACCTCGTCGCCGGAGAGAACCGCGCCCCCGCGCCCGCAGGCCCCACGCGCAAGGCAGAAGACAATCGCAGCCAGCTCCCGGCCCACATCAGACCGCCCCCGAAAGACCCAATCCCTGCGGGATGGGCGAGCGACCGTCGCGATCCTGGGGATCCCCGGGCAGGGGGCCGCCACGACACGAGCCCTCGATGCCTCTCGACACCCGCAGACGCCACTCCTTTTTAAATAAGCGGGGGCGGAGCCCAATGGAACGAGACGACAGACGAACGACGGACGAGGACGGGGACGACGGCGGAGGCGCAGGGGCGAGGGAGGGAGCAGGGGGGGGAAGGCGCGCGGGGAGCGCCAGCGCCCGGCGCAGCCCCGCCGCTCAGCCTGGGCCGGCGCGCCCGCAGGCGCGGCCGGCTGCGCCCGCCGCCCAGCGCCCGGCTCCGCGCGGCGGGCCCGGCCGCGCCGCCTCCGCGACGGCGGCGCGGGCCGCGACCCGCCGCAGGCCCGCCGCGTCGAGGGCCCCCGGCTCAGCCGCCGCCTCGCGGCCGACCTCGCCGAGCCGGCCGCGCGTCGAAACGCCGACCCCCGGCTCGACATAGCCTGGCCAGCAAGTGGCCCCCATCGGAGCCCAAGAGGACCAAGCGGTCTTTGGATGGGCCTCGGGCGCGGGCCAGAAGGGCGCGGCCGGGCCAACCCCTCCCCCGCCAGCCTCTTGAGGACCGCGCCGTGGCGCCCCAGGAGTGCGAGAGCGCAGCGCCCGCCGCCGCGACCGCTCGCGCCTCGGGCTCGGCGAGCCGCGCTGCGGGCGCAGGCGGGCTCCGAGCCTGACCTTGTCATCAGCTTCTTGGTTGCCGATGTGCCGGGCCCAGGGGCGCCGGCGCTCTCGGCCCTCGCCCAACGGGCGAGGGGTCGCGCCCAGCTCAACGAAAAAATGGCCCCACCGAAATCCTCGACGCGGTCCCAAGCCTAGCCCCGCAGCTCGGCGCACTTAGATGGCTCCGAGCAGCGCCGCGCTCGGCCGCGAGCAAGTCCGAGATCGGACCGAAGCAAGCCGACACGACGTCGAAAGCCGACACGACGTCGGAAGTTCTTGGAAGGGCCCCGGCACGCATCCGCACATACCGCCACGCATGGTGCCGGGTACCTCGGGGCAGGTGGCCGAGCCGTCGACGCATACGATGCCGCTGAAACCCTCGCGCCGCGCCACGCCTGCCCGCAAGCTGATCTCGGTGGCACGTCAAAACCCAAGCAGACCAGCCCGCGGAGGAAGCCGAGATCGCCGGGCGGTGCCGCGGCGCCCCGCCGCCGCGCGCGCGTACCCCATGTCCCGCGCCACCTGGGCGGTGCCGGCGCAGGCAGAGGGGCGGTGGTGCGCGGTGCCCCTTTCCCCCTCGGCACCAGCGGCACAACGGGCCCTGCTGCTTGCGCTCGACGTACAGGTCGACCTGGGTCGGGAAACCGCCTGCGCTCAGCTACTCCAGGAGGTCCACTTCCTCGCGCCGAACCCCCCTGCTCATGACAGCTAGCGCGTGGCGGATGGGCCCCACGTCGGGCACGTGACCCTGGAGCGCCTCGAAGACCGGTTGGAACGGCACGGTCCGCATTTGCGCGCGGCACCGTGCTCACCATGAACCACGCGGGGGTTTGGGGCCCGCAGGTCTGCCTCCTGGCCCGCGTCTGCCCGCCAGGCGTGCCACGCCACGGCCACCCAGCCGACGCGCGCGACGCGCAGGCTCCGCCGCGCCCGCGGGCCACGCGGCGTGGCCCCGTGGCGCGCCGGCCCGATGGCCTGGAGGGCCGCGCCGAAGCTGGCGGCGGTCCTGGCGCCGAGAGAAACAGCCCGCGCCCACGCCACCGGGGGGGCAGGCTGTCGGCGGCGACCGCGGGGCCCTGGCGCCAGCGGCTGCCCTCGCCGAGGGCGAGGAGGTGCCGCGTGCGCGGCCTCCTGCCCGCCTCGCCGCGCACAGCCCCATGTGCGCCTCGCGGCGGCTGCCGCAGCCGGCGTTCCCCGCGCGCGGGCGCCGCGCAGGACGGTCGCGAGCCCGCTCGTGCGGAACACCGCGCCCCAACGGGCGCCCGCCCGCCGCAGCGCCACAGCAACCGTCACCGTCACCAACACCAGCACCACAACAAGAGATCTATCAAACGAAGTAGCGTCAGCAGCAGCATCAGCAGCGACAGCATCAGCATCCTTTTCCTCCTCCTCCTCCTCCTCCTCCTCCTCCTTTTCCTCCTCCTCCTCCTCCTCCTCCTCCTCCTCCTCCTCCTCCTCCTCCTCCAACCATCATCGTCTTCAGCGTCATCGGCGTCATCGCCAGCATCGTCAGCAGCAACATCATCGGCATCACCATAGGAATGGGAATGGGACTCTGGGGGCGTCAACCGAACAGCCGAACAAAAGCGGGGCCGCTGCCCATTCAAAGGTTCGAGCTGGGTGTCACTGTGCCCCAAGGGCCTGCAGAGGGAGCGTGTGGCCCCGAACGCTGGGTGGGGGGCCCCCCGGGCGCGTCGTGGGGCCTCGTTGGTGGGGGACCGGAGGGCCGCGACGCACCACCGATCTGAGAGGGCCTGAACTCGACCCATCATCATCATCATCATCATCATCATCATCATCATCATCATCATCAGCAGCAGCAGCAGCAGCAGCAGCAGCAGCATCATAATCATCATCACCATCATCAGCATCATCATCATCATCATCATCACATAATCATCATCATCATCATCACCACCACCACCACCACCACCACCACCATCATCATCATCATCATCATCATCATCATCGTCATCATCATCATCATCGTCCTCCTCCTCCTTCTCCTCCTCATCATTATCATCATACTCATACTCATCAGCATCATCATCATCATCATCATCATCATAATCATCATCATCATCATCAGCATCAGCATCCGCATCATCATCAGAATCCTCATCCTCATCATCATCAGCATCATCATCGTCATCATCAGCATCAGCATCAGCATCGTCATCGTCATCGTCATCGTCATCGTCATCATCCTCACCATCACCATCACCACCATCCCAATTCCTTGTGGGCGATGCTCACGCTCTGCTGGAAGCCCTCCGACAGTCCCCGTTGCCGGCCCTCCTCGAGGCCGCGCTTGTGGCCCTCCTCCAGCCCCTGCTCCCACCTGGGCTAGGGGAGGAGGACGAGGGCAACGTCGACGACGGGGAAGACGACAACGACAACGACGACGACGACGTCCAAGACGACGAGGACGACGTTGACGGCGACGACGACGACGACGACGACGACGACAACGCTGGCCGCGGCGGCGACGACGGCGACGAAGGGGGGGGCAGCAGCGGTGAGACTTCGGGCGAAGAGCCAAGGTGACTGGACGTCCTTCGCTCTATCTTCTGTTGCATCCTCGGGGGACCTTGCCTGCCCCGTCGCGGCCCTATCCGTGTCGAACCCATGTCGGCCTCATCGGCTCCGTGTCGAATCCGTGTCGAATCCGCGTCGAATCCACGCCAACTCCGTGTCGAGTCCGCATCGAGCCCGCGTCGGGCATAACAAAAAACAATTTGGGGGGCAGGCGAGGTCCCCCGAAGATGCAACGTAATCTATCCTGGAAGGCGCCCACAGAAAGACGTGCGCGCCCAGCCGCGCACAGGAGTACGGCCCCCCCAGTCCGCGAGACCAGCCTCGTAATGCGAACGTTCGCGCCAGGCGTACTTTCGAGACCAACGTGGGCATGTTTGCGTGTGCGTCCGTCTCTCGCTCCGGATTCTGGACGTCCTGCGTCCTGCGTAAACCCTAAACCCTAAACCCTAAACCCTTATTCTTTAAAAGCGCGCCATGCAGCCCTTATGTTTAGGGTTTGGGGTCCTGCGTCCTGGACGCCCTCGCGGCCCGCCTAGACATCCGCCTCGAGGTCCTCGCCAGCGGCCACCCCCCCCTGGGAGGTCCGAGGGCCGAGATCCTCGAGAGGGGGAGGAGGGGCTGGAGGAGGTGGAGGAGGAAGTGGAGGAGGAGGCGGAGGCGGAGGAGAAGCTGGACGAGGAAGCGGAGGAGGAGGAGCTGGACGAGGAAGTGGAGGAGGAGGAGCTGGACGAGGAAGTGGAGGAGGAGGGCGAGGAGGGGATGGGGGCAGGAAGAGGAGGCTGGATGAGGAGGTGGAGCAGGAGGGCGAGGAGGAGGTGGAGGCTGGATGAGGAGGGGGGGCAGGGCGAGGAGGAAGTGGAGGAGGAAATGGAGGAGGCGGAGGCGGAAGGAGGCGAGGGCACTTGCGGCCCTCCCCTGGCCCCTGTTCCCACCTTGGCGCGGGCAGAGGTCCAACCCTTGAGGTGAGGAAGGAGAGAGGACATGCATGGGGAGGACCAGGGCGAGGAGGGGGGGAGGAGGAGGAGGAGGAGGAGGAGGAGGAGGAGGAGGAGGAGGGAGGAGGAGGAGGAGGAGGAGGAGGAGGAGGAGGAGGAGGAGGAGGAGGAGGAGGAGGAGAGTAGGAGAAGGGGGAGGAAGAGGAGGAGGACGGGAATGAAGAGGGGGAGGAGGAGGAGGAGGAGAACGGAGAGGAGAAGGAGGAGGAGGGAGACGGAAAGAGAGAGGACAGGTACAGGCGCAGGGGAGCAGGAGGTGGAGAAGTGCGCTCGCGCCCGTGGAGCGCCACCACTCGGAGGAGGAGGGCGCGGGAGGGAAGGCGAGGCAGCGCCCCCCCTCCCGAACGGAGAGCAGGGACCGGAAGGGTGAAGGGGCCCAGGAACACAGAAAACGAATACAATACGCACAAATCCTCGGATGCTCCATGCTTCTCCATCTGTTTTTGGATCTGCGTCTCCCCCGCCACTTTCAAGATCTTCGCCTATTTGCTGGGGGATCGACGAGGAAGTGTGTCTGGGTGTTTTTGCCCCTCCTGGAAGGGGAAGGGGCGAAATTGTGTTGACGTGTTGGCCTGCAGGAACGAAGACACCCGTCGGCGGCCAGCCCCGGGGGGCCGCCAAACTTTGGAGTCCCGAGACGGTGCGGTGACAGACCGTGCAGTGACCTCGAAATCCCCCCAAGACCTCACCGCACGGTCCGTCGCCGCACGGTCTTGGGACCCCGGAGGCCCCCGTCGCCCGAGACGCCTTCGGAAAACGACCCGGGTCCCAAAACCGCGCGGTGACCCCGAATCCCCACCGACTCACCACACGGTGTGGTCACCACCCCCCTGGGGGACCCCCGAACCACTGGCATCGACAAAACCATGTCAGAAGCTGGGTATTTTCCGCCCCAACGTAACGCGTGATCCTCTGCACCGCGCCGCCGATCCGCGAGGACTCGAGAGACGTCTCCGACACCAGAGCTCTATAAACCAGCACACCAGAGGCTCCAACGACTTTTGCGGGGGGGGGAGCAACGATTCCACTGCAGATGCCCATCTCGGCTTAGGTCGGGCCTGTCCCCCATACAGGGGGATTTTGGACGAAAAATAAAAGATACCCAGCAGATGCTCAAAAGAGATGCCCAAAAACACTCCAAAAATGGTCCCCAGGCTATTCTTTTGACTACTTTTGAATGTTCCCCCTGCAGAGGGGCAGGCGGGCGGGCGCGCGGGCGGGCGGGCGGGCTTTCGGGCGCGCGCGCGCGTGCGTGCGTGCGTGCGCATGCAAGCATGCATGCATGCGGGCGGGCTTTCGCGCGCGCGCGCGTGCGTGCGTGCGTGCGTGCGTGCGTGCGTGCGTGCGCGCGTGCGTGCGAGCGCGCGCGTGCGTGCGCGCGTGCGTGCGCGCGTGCGTGCGCGCGTGCGTGCGTGCGTGCGTGCGTGCGTGCGCGCGTGCGCGCGCTTGCGCGCGCTTGCGCGTGCGCGCGTGCGCGCGTGCGCGCGTGCGCGGGTGCGCGGGTGCGCGGGTGCGCGGGTGCGCGGGTGCGCGGGTGCACGGGTGCGCGGGTGCGCGGGTGCGCGGGTGCGCGGGTGCGCGGGTGCGCGGGTGAGCGGGTGCGCGGGTGCGCGGGTGCGCGGTGCTCCGGGGTTGCGCGGGCTGCGTGCGCGGTCGTGCGCGGGTGCGGCGGGTGCGCGGGTGCGCGCGAGTCCGCGAGTTCGTGGGCGCGCGGGCGCGCGGGTGCGCGAGTGCGCGGGTGCGGGGGTGCGCGGGTGCTGCGCGGGTGCGCCTGTGCGCGGGTGCG